ATTTTGCATTCTCCCCCCTTGCTTGTCTCCTGTGCGGTATACATCGCCATGGCACAGGTTATCACACAGTGGATTAAGAAGGCGTGTCAGAGTGTGTGCCAGAACCTCCACTCATCTATTGATCCGCATGCGAGGGAAAAAGCGAAAGACCGGCACACTTAGGAGTGTAACCACAGGCAACAGCCCCCTGCCTGCCCTCTGTTCCCTGCAGTGGGACTGATTGCTTGTCTCAATCATCCCTTCACCCCCCTAAACCACCCCTCTGCCCCGACCAAACCCCCCCACTCCCTTACAGACACACACACTCCCACACTGCCTAAACATCTCCGTCTCTTTGCCCACATTCATTTCTCTACTTCTGTCTCCAACGTCTCAGCAATCTCTCATGATTTGACAACCTCTTGTTCTTCTTGTGAGGGCCATCAAAGTCTGCAGCCTTAACCCTGTTCAAAAGGGCTGGGACTGCATGGTAGGAGTCAATTAATTCTGGAGTGAGAAAGTCCATTAATTAGGCAATGCTTCTGGCTATTTCACGAAGACCCTTCAAAAACAGTAGGGCCACTCGGACAGGCATAAAAGATGCACTGGCACACCAGGTTATTAATGGACCCCGGGGCTCCTGGCAAAGCACCACCGTGGGGTAATTCTTACTTTCTATTTCAAGGCCTCATAACTACACCACATGCACTCACAAAGTGACAAATGCTGTTTACTGGGAATGTGTCTTATCGGGCTTGGCTGACATATTATAGCATGTAATGCCCAGCTACCAGGGCAGCTTCAACATCCTCCTGATCTCCAGTAAAACCTTTCTTTTAAACCACCACCAACCATGGGCTGCAAATTTTTATCGAAATGTTCAAGGTGCACAAGGGTTCAGTGAAAACCTCTTAGCATTAACAAGGCATTGTTAATGAGAAGTAAACTGATAAGACTTTAATACAGCATGCAGACATTTCTCTAAAAGCCACAGATATTCACACGGGGAAGGCTACAAAGTACAGCAGTGGGATACTGCTAGGTTTTCTCTAAATGGAGGTAACAGGATAAACACTGGTGTGAAGATGGGTCTGGGAAAATGAGCTTTGTGATGTCTAATCACTCACTAAATCATGCATGAGAACATTAGCTATTTGTGGTGTCCACCATTCAGGGACATTTAGGAGCATGGCGCCCATTTCAAACTAAACAAGATCATGGTTCGGTGCGTTTGAAATGCTGATTCAACTGTAGGTCTCCCCTGAGCACAGGGCAGGCCTGCCTCCGCCTGCAATGACGAGGAAGCTTCGGTGACAGTACACCATCCGTGAAATTAAATCAACAACTCGCTTATTGTAATTACATTTGGTTAAATAGGAAGCCAAAGTGTGGGTGTAATACAATTAACATGTAATTGTCATCCTGACCAGGTTGGTGCTGATCTATTTCCCCAAGGGATTCAATGAAATCCATCACCCGCCCTCATCTCTACCATTTGTTTTTAAATGAACGATTAGATGAGTACCAGTGTGTCACAGTGCTGCTGTGTATATGTGGTCATGAGTATATGTGATCTAGATGCTGCAGCAAATAACTTGGAATTATATATTTTTTTTTAAAATAAGTTATTCACAAATTCTATTTTAATGTCACTATATTTTTTATATATTGATTTATTTTGGGGTAAAACATGTAAGTATAAAATAACATCATCTGGATAAAAATTGTAGAACTAGATACTGATTTTAGACACACGCATCTGACAATGAAAACCTGCATTCAGTTTCCAAGCTTTAAAATTCTTTGCAGAACACAAACCAATTCTTCGTAGCATGAATGTAACATGCAGTTATTTTAGTGCCCTGACCCTGACCAAATTCTATAAGACATACAGCTGGTTATATATATAAAATATAGAATAATAGCATACAAACTTGGGACATGCTTGCGCCCCCGCTAGAGAGGAAAGGGTTCTTGAAATTAACAGATATGTGAACTTTGTACAGATGAAAGGAATGACCTCACTTCTTGCGGTTGGAAAATGTTTTCTCACTCAGTCCAACAAACCAAGCTGCTATATTTGTGCTATTGTCCTTCCTTTCTTATTGCCTAATCACGATTAACATTTACATCAACCTCAGTTTGTGAATGCAAATGCAGAGGATTTATGCTGTGTAGGCTGTCAACTATGAATATGCATATAAATTCATATAAACAATTCGAGAGGAAGGTAAAAGTGAAAGGGCCTTGGATCTCTGCCTTGAAAAAGAAAAGGACAATAGATCTTTGTTATTTAAGGTTGTTCCATTTGCTTGCATTCAAATCAGTACTATCTCTCTCCATGTATGGTTGTGGTTAGATAACAGCAATGATTTTAAAAATGCAGCGAGACATACGATACATGATTCTCGGGAAAAGAAAAGCGATAGTGTGAAACAACAAAGCTGGCATCTGTATAGAAGAAAAACTAGTTTCACATGTGTATATCAAAGTGCAAAACAATAGAAATTCAGTTTATTGTAAATTTATGATTTTACTCTAAAACGAAATCCTCATTTATTTGGTGTGAATGTTTCCAGATAATTCAGATGTAAAGGAAACACCCTAAAATTTAAATAATAAATTAATTAAAACAGTAACAGTATCTAAGTAAAACATGTCTTCTGGTTGAAAGATGGTTTAATCTCTCTGCAGCCCCACTGCACAAATCTTTGACTTAATTGTTCAATTATGATTTGATTGCAGTGTTTATTTGTTTTTTTTTTAATGCGTCCCCCTTTAGCCCACTTGCCCTAAATCTCCTCTTCTGAATTTCTCTCTAGTTCTCATTTTATTTCATATTCTTGCTCTGCTATTTTATTACTTTTCCTTGCACCTCGAAGCTAGTTCTCCTTACACTTGGCTGCTTGTCATGCTGGTGATGGAGGAATCGAAGCTTATTTTACTGTTGTTCTCATGGTAACTTGCCCTGGATAGCAGTGTTGGCTAAAGGCCTAAAACCTTACAGCCTTGGATATGTCAATTTCCCCTGATCAGTGGATGCATCAGAAGCTTTTGTAAGTCAAAGAAAGGCAAAGATTTCACGTTTATCTTAACACACAGAAGCATCACGTCTGTGACAAGTGCTCAAGGCTGCTAGGTAGTAGGATAGCATGACAAAGACAGATTGGTGCGGACAATTGTGCCATTATAGAGCCAGTCAATATGAGGGTGAAAGCAATGTGCAATATTTACATTTTGATAGCATTTTATTCCTTGTCTTCAAGGTGTTCAAGGTGTCTTTTCCGCAGGTGTAAGATCCTAAGAAAGCGAGAAAATTCAATAAATGTTTATTTGGTGTCTTCTTTCCAAGTGAATGCCAAATAAATTAAAATGACATACTTTCAAATCCTCCTCTGTTCATTTTATCCTCCTTAACTCATACTTGATATGCATGGTCTCCATAAACATTACTGCCACATGGGGCTCCTGGTCCGTATGACAGCTATGGATAACTTGCATGATTTGCTTTGACTATCCCCCATGTCCACACATCAGCCATAGGGGAGGAGAGCTGCATGCTATAACTATGCCACTGTCCTCATCAGTACGCCTGCTGTGTTGCTGATAAAGGTGTGAGCAACAAGGGAAGGTGGATGCTGCGCTTCACTGCAGCTACAGAATCCTTTGCGCTCAGCCTGATGTTTTTGATGCCACTCTGACACAAACCATATACAGCATGCTCTAGTGGTGAGCAGAGACCTACTGTATGCTTCATGCACTGTACCCTCACTGTGAAAGGTAGGCTAGCAGTACAGAGGAAGAATGTCCTTGTGTGTGCTTTTATAGTGGCCTATGCAAGGATAGAGAACATCAAGATGTAGGAAAAGTTTCAGGAAAACAACTGAAACTGAACCTGACCTTTGCCCAGCTCAAGTGCCATTATCCTCTCAGGGCTATGCTTGAGTATTAAAAACATTGACAAATACATCTCTAGCCACTCATCTAAGCGAGACATTTCATTGAGTGTCCTTTAATCTACCAATAACCAATACTTTTCTCTGAAACCATGGAGGTTTCTGTGCTCACAGCAATAGATTCAGGGATATAAGAAGCCACAACAATACAATGCAAACTTAACACAAGTGCTGCGACATACTGCATAGACAACAAACCCAGAATAAAGTGTGTGTGACATGGAAGAGCGCTCAAGGCGACGCAGGCAGTAGTAAATGATGGGAAAAAGAGGACTGGGATGGTGAGTGGGCTGAATATGCGTGCCATCATAGCCAAATAAGCAGATTAATGTCCTTGGTAGTCCCGTCTCTGTTTTAGAAACTGGATGACAGCACACATTGATGAAGCCCAAAGAGGAAGACCTCCTATATGACAGTGTGTTCAGACTGCATAGTAGGCTTAGGCCTGGGCAGAGCACGGCAAGGGTTGGGGGAAAGAGGTTAGGAAGATAAATAAAAAAGAACTGTGCTGCTCCCTGCTGGGCAGGGTCTGGCCATTCTTTTCCTTCATGACCGTTGACCACTGCTGAGTCTCCGCAATCAATGAGATATCCAGAATTTGGAAAAGGGAGACTTAGCCTTACAAATGATTGGTAGCATCAAATTCAAAGGAATTTGAATGCTTTTTCAAGAACTAGTATGTAACACAAGTCCTCATATGTCAACTCCATCTCTCCTGAATGAGGAGTTATGTTTGTTTTCACAAAAAATAGATGGAATTTTAGAACAGAGGTTATTAATTTAACACTGTTCAAACAGTTTGCCTCTTTTCCTCGGCACATAAACTTCTGATGACCCAGTTGAGTCTTGGGTTTTCTATGATTATATAAGTCGTAATACCAGTTGTGCACTTAGCCAATAGAGAGTGAAGCAAACACTGATGGTGTGTCTGAGCCTCTGACTTAAAACATTGTTATTACATTTCATTGCATTACATCACCCTGTTTAAATAGAAATGACAATGTAATCCTTTCTGTGCGTGCATGCCTGTGTGTGCGTGTGTGTGTTTGGGGGTTTTGTGCTTACGTTGTGCGATCTTGGCCAAGTGCAGACGGTTGACCCAGGAAATCTTGCTAAGGGGGTTGGGAGTGTTGAGGACCACCATGAAACTGACAGGACGCCCTGACCTGGATGAGAACACACACAAAAACAGTCAGATTATTACACACATCAAATGTATTGATAATGAATTTGTTAATAAATATTATTGCTGGTTTAGTCTGGTTCTTTTTTCTGTGTGTCATTCCATCATTTGATCAGGTGAGACAGTCTATGTTGTTGTGGCCCAGGAATTGTGATCTTGGTATTTACTAGGATTTGACACAAAAACAGGAGGGCTACAACAGCATTTCATTGTAAATCCTGTATTGTGTGGGCTGAACATTGAACTAAAATGCATTACCCTTACCAGAAAACATAAATGCTGGAGCCCAACACTTTTAGCATGTGTGGTTTTGTGATTGTGTCTCTGCATGTACAGGTGTATTTTTGCAACTATGTCTCCATTATGCTCTCAGGCAACATTTATTTTTTTATTTTTTTTAATGAACGAGGTGCTGCATGTATGAACCACAGCGGAGTTGTGTAGGGAAGACGTTTTCTTTCTTTTGGGAGCTTTTTGTCATTAATTGACAGGACAGTGCAAGACAGACAGGTTTCGGTAAAATGTTGATATTGTCGTGTTTGACTATGGTCTTGAATCACCTACCCCTAGCCATAACCATGTGCTGTGAGTGCCTAAACAGAACCATAAAGAAGTTTAATTATGCTGTAGTTTTAACAATCACATTGTATTGTAAGATCGGATATTCTGGCAGAAAACAAATGAAATACGGAGGCAGTAAACATTTTGCAAATGCTCTATTGCCAGATATTGTCAATTACGGATTGCAACCATTTGAACACAGCTCAAATTTTTTTAAGCATGAGAAACAACCCTATCCAAAGCCAGTGTCTGGTTTGTCTGGGCCACAGTAGAAACATGGTTGTTAAACGTGGTGGTCTCCGTGGAAGAGGACCAGCTCCCTCTCTAGATAAAAACAGCTCATTGTAAGATAACGAAAACACAATGATTCTCATTTCCAGGTGATATTATTTTTATGCCAATCCTCCTAAATGTTACAGACTGGACCTTCAAGTCTCCATCCCCAAAACAAGACAGCAGATTCAACAGGTGGAGCTCCAAATGCAGAAGACAGCCATAATCTGCTACATGCAATAGATTCTCTTTCAACGCCACCACCATAGCCATGGCCATGCACTCCCACAGAACCGATAAGCGGTATGAAGATATGTTAGAAAAGAAAAGCCTAAACTAATTTGTATTTTAACAAAAAAAGTGATTCATTATCCACAGTTCTGCATTTTAAAACACTGTTATAGTGAAAAATGCCAGTTTCTAAGGGAAATAGTGACACATTCTAATTCACTTTATTCACTTCACCATACTTTATGCACTTTATTACTTTAAATCACTTTAATAATATTTAACTTGACAGCTGAAAAACTGAAGTAATACTGACGATGTGTATCAATGGTTTAATCTGGTTATAAAATGTTGGCGGGAAACTTAATGTTTAAAAGAGGGCCATAGAAAAATACCAAATGGACACTGACAGTAGCCACGGAGGCCGACTTAAATACTT